TTTTTTCTTCCATTTCAATATTTTCTTTCATTTCAATATTTTCTTTCATTTCATTATTTTCTCCCATTTCAATATTTTCTTTCATTTCAATATTTTCTTTCATTTCAATATTTTCTTTCATTTCAATATTTTCTTTCGTTTCAATATTTTCATTTGAAACTATAGTATCTTTTATGCATATTGTTTCCAATTTTTCTTCACTTATTGTTTCTACTTCCTCACACATATGACTATTATCTTTATTATCGAAGACAAGTTTTATTTTCTGTACCATTTCTTTCATTGCATTTGATTCAAAATTTGTAACGTTTATACCGCATAATTCCTGTGCAGTGCATTTTTGGACTATAAGATCTATATCTTCTTTGTTTTCTTGATTTTCTTCTTCCAGATTTTTCTTAGAGATAACTTCCATATTTTTATTATTGCCAATATTTAATTTTTCTGGTATAATATTGAAGTTTTGTAATTGTCTATTACGTTCTAAAGAATCTTCTAAAGAATCTTCTAATTTCTCCACAACACTTGAACATATAATTTTAATGTTATCTGTACTCTGTTTTATATTACTTTGGATATTTGAATTATCTTTTTCTTCTTCACAAAATGTCAAAGAAATATCAGTAAAAGTCTGTGGTAATTCTTCCTTCTTTGAATCAGTTTCAATAAAATTTGTTTCTTGCGAATCCTCTGATATATATGCTTCACCAATAAGTTGTAAACTTCCACTTATACCTTTCATGCTAACCAACGTATCGACATCATGTTTTATATTATAGTTCTTGCTTTGATCAGTATTTACTTTAGAAACTGTACTTGATTTTTCTGTTACATTAGTCTGAGATAAAACCTCATCTATAGTAGACTCCGGTGAAACATCTGCACTGTGCTTGGCACAAGATTCCTCTTGAGATTTTGGTTCATGTTCCAAATGTGCTTCTACAAAAGAATATACTGATTATAAATATAGTTATTATCATTAAAATATAATCTAATTATAAAAAAGCATTTACCATTAGAAGATACTGTATATACGTTGCTCAAAAGTGCAGGATCAAAATCAGTTTTCACATTAGTATTAGTATCTATGCAACTACCTGATTCAAGATGTTCAGATATATCCTTTTGTTTAATAGTTTGTGACTGCGATGTAATATTATCACGATCAAAAACATCTATATTAGAAACATTCGTAGAGTCTTCTATCACCTGTTGTTCATTTTTCATAATAATTCTTTCATCATCGAGTTCTTGATCTTCACTACAAATAATACTCTGATTATCTACCATGTCTTTACTGTGGATATTAGACTTTACATTTGTTTGGTTATTCTCTACTTTTGAATCGGTAATTATTTGCGAAAGAGCAGCAATTTCACTTTCTAATGTAGAATCGCTTACAGGATCAGATTGTACACCAATAATGTCATTTATATCCATAATGCTTAATGCTTCTGTATCGTAAGTTTCTGAATCACTATCTATGCAGTATGGTGCATAACGATCTGGAGAATCCTCTTTTTTAGATTGTTCTTTTTTTTGTTCTTTATTTTTATCTTTTGAGCCAAATAGGCCCATCTTAAAACTCTCAGACATTGTTTGAGGGCCTAACACAAAGCACAGTATGCTTGCTATGAAACATCAATGCGTTATTGTATTTGTCCACATATATATTATATTTATATATTCACTCAAATGCATACACTTATACATATACATTCAATACACAATATCAATAAAACATGTATATTATTTGTATAATTTATAAGCTTACTTATTAATCTATGTTGGCAACATCTTTGTTATTTTTTGGAACATATGACAATACTATCCATTTAATTATTATTATCATTGACATTAGTAAGCATAACCAATCTTTTTTGCCACATAACTATTGATTTTCAACTGGATAAACTACAATATTTCAATTAGACAAATACATAAAACACTACACCATAGAATATTCTGAAATAATACTTATATATCTAAACTTATGGTATTAATACCAATTCTTTAGTATCTCTAGTTTTTTGTATATATTTTATTTAATCAACACTTGATCAACCGACGCTCCAATGCATAATCCAACAAACCAGGTAATTCAGGGTCGCCAAGCTCACTATGAAAGCAAAGACTTATGGCGCCTCCGCAAAATAGTAGGGTACCAAACAAATACAAAACTGGTATGATATATATATATGCTGACGTTAGTTTGTAAAATCCATTAATTCGTGAAATAAATTCGGAAATAACTATATTGATCTGTTTCAATATAAAAAAAAAGCAGAATTAAATATTTCATCTAGGTAATCATATTACGTTTTACTAAAAAAATTATACATTAATGTCGAATTTTTACATATTTATAGAATATAATATATAGAAGTAATGCAACGAAATATTATGCACTAGTTATATTTTACAAATTTTCGCGCTAAATTTGAAAATGCGCAGAAGCCCTTGCGTAAAAGACTAACATGAATACTCGCCATAACGTGCACCCTCCCCACTTTTATAAAACGATTGTGCTACTTGTATATCGAGTTGAGGGTACTTTTGCTGCATATACTGCCACGAATATAATTTTTGTTTATTAATCATTCCACTAAATTATAATTAAATTATATATTTTGATATCTTATAATTTATATTCATTATAACTTAATGTGTATAAATAATGAAATATTGTATAATTCAGCTATGGCATTTGAACAGTCACGCCGAAATCGATAACGATCAATTATAATTTTTTTAATTATTATAACTTGTCATAAAAAAAACAAAAATGGCAAATAGAAAATCTTCGACTAATTCAAAAAATACAGATGATCATAGCGTTGAGGTAAGATATTTATAGTTTGTCAATCTTCTTTCAAATAAGTTTTATCCTACAAATGTTGTTATTGTCTATATAATAATACGAATTTTGTAAATGTAAATACTTTAATATATATGTAAACATTTTTAATTTCATCTATTCATAAATTAATAAATTTATTTCTTTTTTTATCTATATAGATATAATTTAAAGAATTACAAGTATAGCTTTTCATATACTTTTATATGTTTTATTTCTTTTAATTGTATTCAATATATTTTTTATGAATGTAAATAATAGTTTACTTTTATATTCCACAGACGCTGGCAGAGGTGTTCCGATGTTTTATTTGTATGGAAAAGTTACGAGATGCACATCTTTGTCCTCATTGTAGTAAATTATGCTGTTATACATGTATAAGACGATGGCTAACTGAACAACGTTCACAGTGTCCTCATTGTCGAGCCTCTCTTCATTTACATGAACTTGTGAATTGTCGATGGGTTGAAGAAGTTACCCAACAGCTTGATACATTGCAAGCTGTTGCTATATCTAATTCACGTTATGATGATTCTAATCGGGATAGGTAACACATTTATTTTTTGATAACTCCTAAAATGTTTAAATAAATTCAACTACTATTTTAAATATAATTTTATCCATTTTTAGATGTACAATACATCAAGAAAAATTATCTGTTTTCTGTTGGACATGTCGTCGTTGTATCTGTCACCAATGTGCATTATGGGGTGGAACGCACTCAGGACATACATTCAAACCCTTAGAAGAAGTTTATGAACAACATGTAAATCAATTAAAACTAGAAATAAGGCAATTGAAACGAAGACTCGTCCAATTAATCAGCCTTGTTCAAGAAGTAGTATGTATCTAATTGAAAATAATCAAATATATAAATAAATAAATAATGAAAATATATATTTTATTCTTATATACACTAGGAAAGAAATGTTGAATCAGTGAGGGCTGCAAAGGATGAAAGAGTAAGAGAAATTAGAAATGCAGTAGAACTAATGACTGTCCGTTTGGATTCCCAATTAAAAGCAAAATTGTTAACTCTAATGGGTCAAAAGAATTCTTTAACTTTGGAAACAGAACAGTTGGAAATACTATTACAAGAAGTAGAACATCAGTTGCATACTTATACTCGATCAGAACTTATAGCCAAAAGTGTTGACTTGTCTAGAATGATTTATCAAGTTTGGAAAAAACCGATAACAAATTTTGTTACTACTCCTGTTCCTGCTGATTTTCACAGGTACATAAAATATTTAAATATAAAGAATATTAATTAAAAGAAATCATTTCTTTTATTATCATAATTATTATAGTGAAATAGTACCAGGATATGATAGTGCCACATTTGCGATGCAAAATTTTACACAATTGCAATTGAAAGCAGACCCAGTGTATTCCGCACCGTTGCATGTTAATGGTTTATGTTGGAGGCTGAAAGTATATCCTGATGGCAATGGAGTCGTACGTGGAAACTATTTATCTGTATTTTTAGAACTTACTGCAGGGCTACCTGAAACATCAAAGTAAGTGGTCATAATATCTGTAATAATATATAAATAATACTTTATATGATGATTTATTGTTTTTTTTTTAGATATGAATATAGAGTTGAAATGATACATCAAGGCTTGCTTGATACAAGTAAAAATATTGTTAGAGAATTTGCTTCGGATTTTGAAATTGGCGAATGCTGGGGCTATAACAGATTTTTCAGATTAGATTTACTGGCAACGGAAGGTTATTTAAGCACAGAATTGGATACACTTATATTACGGTATCTTTTTTCTTTATATATATATATATATATATAGATTTTTTAAAATATATAATTTTAATAATATAAATATACGAAATATCGCTATTTCTTATACATCCGTAATGTATAATTCCAAAGCAGAAAATAGATTTCAGGTTAGACCACCGACTTTTTATCAACGATGTAGAGATCAGCAATGGTATATCAGTCAATTAGTAACTGTTCAAAATCAATACAAGACTCAAATCAATGAATTGAAAGAGGTAATACATAAAAAAATATATATAAATTTGTTTATAATGCATTCCATAGAAGATTCATTTTAAAATGATCATTGCTACTATAAATAAACATCTTAGTATACTTTTACTTTTAGAGACTAGCAATTGAGATTTCACGTAATACAGTAACAGCAACTAGAGCAAATAATGGAATTACAACACCTACATCAACTGCAAATATATTACCTTCAATTCAACAAAAACAGCCGCAAGGTTTAGGAGATTCTAATTTGAATTGTAATTCTGGTTTAACCATTGATACTTATTCAACCGGAAATACTATATCACAGTAAGTTTTTAAAATAAAATACATGATATATAGGAAATTCATAAAAATATAAAAAGAGAAACATGAAAATATGTTGTAGATTTTTATGTATAAATTTTATTTATTGATTAGGTCTATTCCTAATACTTCTCCCAATGCCGTTATTAATGAAACAATGCCAGAAGATCAATTAATATCTTTGACTGAATTAGGAGATTTAAAAAATATTCATCCTCCTGTATCATCTTCCACGTTGTCTTCAGTATATTCAAAATCAAATGCAAAACAAAATTGCTCCAGTAATATTAACATTATTGAAAATGAATCACGCATACCACATACTGCCAACGATGTATCAGTAGGTGATATTCAACCTACAGAAATAAATTCCTCATTGCCATCTTATTCTTCTCCAACAACTCTAAATCAACAACCATTAAATATTTCATCAAGCAGTAGTAGTAGCGATAGTGGAGTGAGTTTTTTTACTAAGTTATCTTATATATATAATTTATATGTATTATTTTTTATATTTATTTATAGTTGAGTTTACTTGTTATAGGAATTAAGTGAGCATGATATATATATAGCTGAATGTGAGAATACTGAACGCACGCAAACATTATTGGACGATAATTCTAATGATGAAAATGATGTAGACGATGAAACTATGTCAGGTATTAAACTACAACATATTTCATAGTATATATATTAGTAATAGATATTTTTTCCTGTAGATATATATTTGTATTATGTACTTCGAATTTAAAATCAACTTTCCATCATCTAAATACTATATACCAAATTAATTTGCATTTAAAAATATAATTAATAAATTAGGTACAAGTTCAAATAGGGGTCCACCTTTAGAAGAGGATCTAAAACTTATTTGGCAAGAAAATATACTTGACAAAGATATCTCAAATAAAAAACCAACAAGAATGAGTAGCAAAACGAAGAATCTATAAGAAAGAAAATCTTACGCTTAATGCTCCAAACAACATTTTTTCTAAATTTTTTAAAAGTAGTACAAATTAAATAAGAATAATTCTAATATGCGTATATAAAAATTGTCGATTAAATTAATATTGTATGTGTGACAATAAAGGTTACTCGGCTAATATTTTAAAAATTGATATGTGCATAAAATAAAATTATTTATGTATATATTTTTTTTCTTTTAAACTTCAAACTTCTATTAAGTTAAAAGCATTATGTTATAAAAGAATTACAAATATAAATTCATTTTGATAAATATATTATTTTTATTTTTAAGGTGAAAATGATATAGAAGCTGCAGAATCATTAGCACCATGGATGCAAAATAAACAAAGAATAAGGGAACAAAGTAGTAGAGATGCAATTGCAGAAACATACAGGTATAAAGAATTACTTTTATAGTTGAGGACTATAAATTTCTTATTTTATTAATTCTTATCTTGATCTAATATAACATTAAATTTAATTTTTTTATGGAAACAAATTAAAGTGAACTAAGAAGCAATGAAAGTTTAGAAGACGAAATAATGCTACTTCATCTATTCGATTATCAAGATCGAATAACTGGCTGGACTTCTTTATCTTTTAATAAACGTACATCTGATACGTCAGACTCTAGAAGCTCTATAAGCAGTATTAAATTACAAAATTCAAGTCCTTTGCACCATAGTGCTGTATTGCCCACACATCCATCAGGATACTCACACAAACATCGCGAACTCGAATCATGTAGTGAACAAACATTCCCTGATAAACATTCGAATTACGTAATGCACTCACCTCAAAAAGTTTGCAATAGTAAGATTAAACTTGATCAAGTTTCAAATAGTTATCAACAGAGAATTTTTGGTATGCCAGTTTGTGGAAATTATGTAACTCGATCGGAACCTGCAACACGTTCAAACTCTTTAGATTGTGAAAAGGATCTTTCCAAAATGTCTATTTTTAATAAATTTAATTATGAAATGGAAACGGTTAGACCAACAGATTTGATAGCGCCAAATGGTAAATAATAAAATATTTAACAAGTTATTAACATAAAATGTAAAAATGATAAGTTTATATTCAGAAAGACAACGATATCTTAAAATATTGGTAATACATATATTAATTTTTGTTGTATGAATAATTATCATATTTTAGTAATCTTGGATAGTAACAAAGTTGTATCAAAGCATTTGCTGTCTCGTCGACAATCTTCGCCAGCTTCTCCTGCAAATAGTTCACCGAATAATGAAAGTAATAAAACGTTCAATTTCGAACGACTGATTGAGTCTATTCCATTATCTCCAATATCAAATTCTACTAAATTAAGGTAAACATTTTTAAGAATAATATTTAATAATATTTTTTAGTTAACCCTTTATATTTCATTGGCATCTCTATGGGCAAAACTGTCCCCCATAAGTATTGTGATTTTTTTCTTAACGCTCGTCACTTCTATATAATTTTAAACGCAAATTATATTATTTTCTCTTATTATCATTGAAATAGGAAAAGTAATTCACAAGAAGGAAAAGATAACAATTGTACAAGTATGAAAATTCCTGCACTATCATCAGTTCATGAAAATCTCTTGTTACCTATTAATAATGCAGTAGGAACAGACACTATATCAAACCATAATAATTATAGTTGGGCTCCTGCATTATATCCTCATAAACATGGTATATTTTATATTATAATAATTTTTATTTTTATATCGATGTGAATATTTATAAATAACAAAACTAATATCTTTTTTTTATTATTGTAGTTCAACAAAATGTTACAGACACTATTGTACAAGGTACATCAACTGAAAAATTGGAGAAAAGTAATCGTGATAAGTAATTGAAATTTTTTTAATTACTAATTGTTTGATACTTGTAATTTATTATATATATATGATGCATTAAATAACTTTTTTTAGCACCACTATGCAGTAATCCTGGCAAGAAATTCTTTTATCTTAATATCAGACCTTTTATTTTGTTGGCCAAATTGTTAAATAAGATTGTGATGTCATGTTGTGATTGTGATTAATCAGTAATTATTACATTCTTTGTACACATTTTATCTATTGTTTATAATATAATCATAGCTGTTCAAATACAGCTCACGACGAATTTTTAATACCCTTTTTGTTTCCTATTAATTTATTTAATTATACAGATATGTAGAATATAAAACAAATATTATTTGTCTTTAATAAAAGCCCCCCCCCCCTGTATAATGTAATATTAATTAATATTATATTGTATCTATATATATATATATATAATATAATATAAAATATTATTTGTCCGTAATAAAAAGTAGGTAAAAATAACTATCGAAACATTGATATTCTTATAATTGTTCTTTTTTTTAGATCAAATTAGATTAGCATTAGATCAAAGATACAAACTTAAAAGTATCAAGTTTAAATGCATTATAAAAGAAAAGCAAGAACATTATATTTAAGGAAAATTGTATATTATTTTTCCTGTATTCAATTTAATTTATAAAAAACTACAAATGAGATTTATATAATATATAAATAAAAAAAAAACGATATCATATATATTTATATATAAACATATATTCTTTTATAAAAATTTAAATAGATTAAAATAAAATTTAAATTATTAGGAGAAAAGCTCGGGGAAAGGTATGGCACGTAAATACCGGTATAGTAAAACTACTATCAAGTAGATATCACAATTCATTTTTTAGTATTTTTCCTTTAGAAGTACTAGTTTTTTGTACAATTCGCATAATTCTTGTTTTATTAGAAATAATTTTACTATCTAGTTCTAATATCCTAAGAATTCTATAATATTTTCTAAATCTTTTTCGGATCATATGAACTATATGCTGATCTTCAGCAAGATCAATAGTTGATCCCAATATTAAATGAATGTACCTAATATGTTCTAATTTCAATAAAATAATTTTTTTCTTATTCCTAGCAGTTCTTCGATCAATGAAATTTAAGTGTCGCCTTAACTTTCTATAATCACATAGAAGCTGTTCAATAATTTCTAAACACAGCCAACGAATGCGAACAATACATTTGTCTGGTGGATCGGTAGCACTTAACAAACAAATATTTGTTAAAGCTTCCACACGTGAATCTCCATCTAAATTTGCTAATACGTAATTAAGTAAATTAGGAATGTTAATTGGTAAAGAAAATGGAAATACTGTACTGTCCTCTTTCCTGAAAATAAATATATTTATATTATTCTAATCGTGTAATTATTGTATAAGTTTGTTATTAAATAAATTCTCATTACCTTTTTGCTGGAAAAAACAAAATAGATGGAAAATGATTCATACTATATTCCCATGGTAAATCATTGTTATCTCCATCTATGCGTACAAATGTAAGATGATCCATTGCAGACAAGTAATGTGCTACCATCAAGTAAACATAAGATATTGCATTACAAAATGCACAATATGGGGAATAATACATTACAACCACATCCTATTAATAAAACATTAAAAATAATGTAATATTTATATATACATTATCTCTAATTCTTAGATTTCACTTGTATTTACCTTAGTTTGATCCAAGATAATATCCAAAAACGTTTCACTTGTCAAATCTGGTATACACATTTTCAATGTATTTTTCGGATCACATCTAATCTTGGTCTTAAATTTATGTACAAAGCAACGTGAGTTATCAGATCGTAATGTGCGTTGTAAAACGCCTTGAGTATAATTATTTATAAATTCTATAACAGCATGTCTATTAAAATCTGTTTGCATAACATATTCACTTTCTTGCTGAAATATATAATATTACAATTTAGATGTAATAAATAAATGCGAGAACAAAAAGATAAAGAAAAAGCAACGTGTCTAAAGAAATATATAAGCATTATAACTTACAGCAACATCTAGAATGATAGCAGCAGTTTTATCTTTTTTTTTTAAAACATCAATTCCTAAACCTTCCGCAAAATGAAAATAATGTAGACTATCAATTGCTATCAAAGATAATGTCCTATTTATGTTGCATAAAGATTTTATTAAACTTATGTTAGATTGGTTTAAAGAAACTTGAGGAAATACTGGCTTGTGATATCTATGCCCTGCAAACCATCTTTTACAATTTTCTTTTAAAAAATTATGTTTTATCGCAGTAGGAGACTGTGGATCATTTTCATCAGACTGTGATGATTTGTACTCTGAACTAAAATATAAATATAATATATATTAATATTATATTGTATTATTTACTTATATTCGGTAAAATTTACTATACCTTTTCACATCCACACTTTCATCTAAATTTATTGAAATATGATCTTGATTGCAACAAAATTCCTGTCCAGTTTGAGTATTTTCCGATATAGGTATTTTAAAAATATCTATTTCTTTACATACATGAGCATTTTGTTCGTGAATAGAAGTACAGACAGCTAAATCTTTATCAACCGAATTTAATGCTTCCTTTTTGCATAAAGAACATTTATTCATGAAAACATTTGCACAACAGCTATTATTAATCCACTGCTGAACAGAAACACTGATTGTAGGCTCATTTATTTTCATTTCATTTTCACTTACAAGATGAGTACACTTTTCATTTTGTTTAATGTAACGAGACATCGCTGTATAACGTTTGTATTGAAGACCCAAAATAATATCTTTCACTGAAAGATTATTCGCACAATTATAGTATTGTAATCCAAGTTCTCTAATCTAAAAAATTGTTATAAAATAAATAAATATATAATATAAATATCTCTATTTTAGAAAAGAAATATATTATTGTGTAATAATATATATATCTTATAATGTAAAATTTACAACATACCAGATCATAATTATAATTTTCATAATGCAAAGGATTACGTGGTGTAAATAAAAAAAATACAGGTCCTTCTCGAAGATAAGGTGCAAGAGTAAGAGATTTCATTCCAGGTGGTTGAAGCCATAATGTTGGTTGATGAATTGAACTAGTAATCCAATTTAATATATTTTCTGGCGTCCATTCTTTATCATCTGGATAGTTCTAAATATTAAAATTATTTTTTGGAATTGTTTATAAAAAAAAATATAACAATGCCAAATACATAAATTACAAGTTTCCATTATTTACCAAAGTTTCATTCCACATAAATAAAGATGCAGTAGGAGTTTTAGTAATTTCGTAATTGGATTGACTGGATAATGCATTTGTTACGACAGCAAATGCAAGTTCTCTATTAGGATCCTTTTCTAACGATCTTATAGCAGCTTTGTAAAATTCTTTATATCCTGGACTGTTAGCTAATCCGGTAAAATTAAAATAACCTACAATTACAGCCTGCAATGAATAAACAGAGTACAATAAAAAAGTACCTAATTTTGTTACAATTACAAAAATTTCTATCCATCTTTTGCACTCACATCATAAGTAACAAGCAATTGCTTTATAGATTTTTTATTTGTTATCCTAATAATTGGATTTATAAATGCATGAAGAAATCGAATCATATATGGTGCAGTACGTATGCCTCTGTACTGTATACCTGAATCTCTTGCCGGATAAAGTATGAGAACTGGATAACTTTGAATTTTATTGTATTGCGTTCTGCATTCAGAATTTGGATGCCAACAATTAATAGCAGTAAAAAATATCTAAAAAGATAATTTAATAAAACAAGAAGAACGATATAAAATACATGCTGTATATAAGATTAATTTATTAACTTTTTATACCTGTGGATAATAATATTCGGCTACTTTTTCAAATTCATCTCGTACTAATTGGCTTTCTGCATCCCATGGGGCATAATACATAACAAAACTAAATTCTATATCCGTGACTCTGTCTATCATAGCACTTAAGTGACCTTTGTAAAAATCTAAAACGATGGAACTTTGATTAAAAAATGGTCTTGCCGATGGTGGTTTAGATATTCTTGGTGGTCTGTAAATAAAATAAATAACAATATAAATATTTATATATTTAATTAAGATAATTATTAAATAAATAAGTTATTTATTTATATAAACAAAAATATCTTATAACTTTTGTCAACTAAAGTATAATACAAGTTTAAAAAGGGTAATTTTGAAAACTAGTATTTAAAAAGTAATACCATCGAAGGTTATAAAAGTGTTATAAAAAAATCATAAACATTAAAACACAACCTAAAACTTACGAACTGTGAAGTGCAGCTAACGCAGTGAACATGACAGCAAGAATAAAACATATTATTTCCGTAGCATAAGAGAACATTTTGTTAGCCAATTTTTGTTCTATCGTTGTACTTTGACTTGATTCTTTGGCCACGTTGTTACTTCCTGAATCCGGTATAGTTGAGTGCAAGTTATCAGCATTTCTCAACGGGCTTATTTCGCGCGCTTCACTTGACATTATCCGTTAAACCAAAAGAAAATTAAAGAATGAAATAGCGTTTATTCACGCTCATAAAACACTTATCATTTTCCTCTGTGAATCTATCACAGAAAATAACAACTGATTTAATTAAGAAAGATTAGGCGGGCTTTCTTTAGACTTATTCTGGCTTTCTATACGTATAGGTATATTAACAAAGCGGAAACAGCTGACCATTTGACAACATATTAAAAGATGTCTAAATCTACAATAAATATAATCATACAATTAAAAGAATGGACAATGCCATACTTCAATCAAATTGTTATCATTAATTCTAATAGATACATATTTTCTTTACAAATTACAATTGTATTCATTCATTGTCTAACTATTATTACATTTCACTTACTACATTACAATCAAGTTTTTTAACATAAACAATAACTACTAATCGACCTAAAAAGATATTAACCTAAAGGTTGGTTTATTTTTCTCTACAATTTTCAATGCCCTCTAGAGGAAGAAAAATTATATATTATATATACATATATATGTTTAGTTTAATCCTATATACATGTCAAAATGCATAGGATCCTAATTCACATTTTCCATTTTTTCCATTTTACAGATGGCGTTTTCATGCTATTACAATTTCTAGGGATTTTCAGCCTGATTTTTCGGAATAATTTTTTAATAGAACAATGCCCATTTAATTTCATAAATAAATTGATAGTTTTAAATGATATTTGGTAAAAGGACATTCTTTTTTAGTTTAATTTTTATACAGACAAATTAAAAACATTTTATCGTTCACAATTGCTAACACATTTTCTTATTAGTTAATTTATTCCAAGATGTCTGCACCCAATGTTGCCAACTATTTAATTGACAACAATATTTAATGGATGAACATGGTATAAATGCTTACCGAAGTAAAAAATTAGAATCCATTTGTATATTTTGAATTTTTTTTAAATTTAATTTAAATACAAAGAAAATGTTCTATCACGTATGTAAAAATTTATTTTTTTATCGTTCTGTGTTTTTTTTTAAACTTAAACTATAATTTATTCTTCAGAGATCAATCAATAAATCCTTTATTGAATCAGTTGGGAAGAATTAATCTTTTTGTATGTTTATTAATTAACATAGATATCATTGGAGCAAGAAGTCTTATTACATCCAAGATATTTTGGACCTCAACTGCTTGAAATAGTTAAACAAAAACTTTATACAGAAGTAGAAGGAACATGTACTGGAAAGTAAGATCATATATTTGAATGTGATGCAACAGGTATTTACTAAATAATATTTTAGGTATGGCTTTGTTATAGCAGTAACACTTATAGATAATATCGGTGCTGGTATAATACAACCAGGAAAAGGATTTGTAGTATATCCTGTTAAATATAAAGCAATTGTCTTTAGACCATTTAAAGGTGAAGTTTTGGATGCAATTGTAACACAAGTAAACAAGGTAAACATTACAATATTACAGAAAATATATATAAATTAGTTTAGCATATATATAATTAATGATAACACATTAAATTTTTTGTACAGGTTGGAATGTTTGCAGAAATCGGACCATTATCTTGTTTTATATCTCATCATGTAAATATCAGTAATTATTTTTTTATAGTACTAAATGTATTTTATTTTATATATATGTAAAATATTATTTCAGTCAATCCCAGAAGAAATGCAATTTTGTCCTAATGTTAATCCACCTTGTTATAAATCAAAAGAAGAGGTAATTATTTATTGCTTGATAACTTGGAAAATTATTTGCTATAATTAATACGATATTACTACTGTAACAAAAATATTAATCCTTAAATTTAAAATTTTCAGGACGTAATCATTCAAGCCGACGATGAAATAAGATTAAAAATAGTTGGAACAAGAGTAGATGCTACTGGTATTGTTAGTATTCAATTCAAATATTCTTATTAATAATAAAAATATTCGCAATATAATAACCATGGATAAACATTTATTTTGTTCTAGTTTGCTATAGGAACATTGATGGACGATTATTTAGGTAAGATTACTTAATTAATAATAACAATATATTAATATATATTTAGCTATAAATAAACTTGTTTTTTTTTTAGGTCTTGTATGTAACTGAATTGTTCATACATTCTATTATAGACTACCCTCCTACAAGTTTGTAAATAGAAAGGAATATGTTATAACAATGTCTATTGCAATTAAATGAAAAACAGCGATGAACTATATTTATACATTGAAATTTAATAAATTTAAGAGAATCAGATTTAATTATTACAATTAATGAATACCATTTTGTTACCTATTCTTATTTCCGTATTTTTACGTGTTAAAGCAAAAGCTTATTCACTCCTTATCAAAGGAACTATATAAAAGATATAAATAAAATTATCCTTAATTTTTATTCTCGAGTATTTTAGCCAAATATATATAATAATAGCATAGAAAATACTGTTAATCATTACACCATGGTATGCAAAATAAATATTAAATATAATAATCATAAATTAACATTTGTTACAAAATCTATTATAAATTAATTTATCCTTTAATTTATTACATAATTTATAAGTTCATAAATTCTCCTTTTTTTTATGAATAAACATCTAAAAATTTAAATACTATTATAAGATTTTATTTATCTTTTTATTTAATACATTGAATGCCACATTAATTTTACATGGCTTACCCATGATGCAGACACGAACTTACTGTTATGTGTTAGACATATTGAAATGTTATTTAGAACAGATAAGTTAAAGTTTATAATTATTGATTATAATTAATGCATTTATCTTACTGGGGGGTCACACGTAACTTGTGTGATGTTGAAATGCATTTTTTTGTATTGGCTCGATTAACAAAATGCCGAGATAGTACAATGAAAGATTTTCTTTCTTCACATACGAGCCTACTGAAAAAACAACGTCATAAATATAAAATGATTTTGTAAAATATGTTACAAAAAAAATTCCAAGAACCTAGGTAAGACCAAGGACAAAAAACTCTACCAAAATAGTTGTGGCATATTGTGAAATCTATTGATTTACCTTTCCTCTGTTTAAAATGGTTTAATACAAAACATCCACTATACGCATGCATAATATTTAAGCATACATGTCACATATACAAATAAAACTATTTTGATATATTATTTTATATTGAATTAATTTCTTCAAATCATTGAAATTTACTCGAATTATATTTCTAATAATCTTAGTTTCACTGGTCACTGATGATCCCTATGGCATTCAATGCGTTAATAAATTTTTGTAAATAAAAGTAAAGATATTTTTGATAGATATATTAATTCGCAGATAGTAAATTGATTTTATATTTTTTTGTTAAGTCCAAATTATTTACATATTATTTAAAATTAAACGAAATTTCAAAAATCTATGCAATCTATTTCATTATTACAAGGATGCGCTGTGAAAAATTACAGCGCTTAACAAGCGTCGATAAGATTGTATTAATGTACATAAATTGTGTTTATTTCGCTACTTGTGTAACCTTTTAGTTATCTCGTCATTTTACAATGAGCACATGGTTTCAATATTGTAATAAATTCATTTCAACTATTTTGCGTTTGCAGATTTTTTAATCCTATGAACAGTGCAAGTTTTGTAGCAACTTCTGGTTTTTCTTTTTCATAAAGTTTACTTTGATCAGGCATCAATTTGTCCATTACATGCTTATATATCTTACCATCGGCACCTACATGATATGTAGAAAATCCATCGTACCATCTAGAAATTATAATAAATAATTTAAATATTCTCTTAAGGTTTTATTCCCGTTAATTAAATAAAATAAATAAATACATACACTTCTGCATCATTTAAAGCTTCCTTTATTCTCCAAAATTTTAATTTCCATAATGTAAAAATTGCTCTTAGTCCTGTAATACCGCTAATTCGCCAACGTACTTTTATTGTATCATCTTCCGGATTAATAGTTATTTTTAATACATCTAATTTTATGTATGCAAATTTTATATGACCAATTGTTCTTATAATAGTTA